TGCATTTGAATGTTATGTTAATGCAACAAATTTGTAGCTCCGATACAAAAGAGCCTATTTGTCTCCAAAACAATTTCCTATATAGCCACATAGATATTCTTTGGGATTAGATGCAGGTTTTTTGTCTCAATGAAAGATATAGTCACAGAGTTTGGCTTTCCAATGAACAAAAAATCAAGTGGTTTGACCAAGAATTGACAAAGATATAAGGGATTGTTGAATTCAAATTATGCCCTCCAATGTCTGTTACAGGTTGTAATCTAACAATCCTGGAGGTTTTTTGTTAGTACAATCAACAATTCTCACACTAAAGAAACAAAAAAATACTCAAATCCAAGGTCTCAGCCATAGGAACAATATGCATATTTTTGTGTATTTTTGTCTCTCTCCAAGACTGCTCAATATCACTGTTTGTTGGTTTTTATATTTTCTGCCCAGAAGATATTATATTTTGTGTAGTGTTATATGCATTGTGGTTTTAAAAATATGAAAAAATATGCCAGACAATCGGAATGCATCAAAGGCCCCTCCCATTATTTTTTCATATTTTTCTGACCCTTGCCAGCTTTGCTATAATTTTCTATGTCTACTCAATTTTCTAAACTCCACGGTAAATTTGCAATTTGGCGTAGTGTCACGGTGGCACAACCTCTGGTAGTTATCCAGAACTCAGGTTGCTTTACCAGTTTTCCAGCTAACTCCAGTCGGGGTTTGTCGAGAGAGGAACCCAACACATCAGATCAAGCACTAATCACAAAAGATAGAGAAATAGAAGCAAGAAAAAGCAATCTCGTACCTAACTCCAGTCGGGGTTCGTGGAGAAAGGATAACCCAACCTGGAGCCAGGGTGGTAATGTATAATACGTATTGTAACCTCCATAAGCCCGTGCCTTCAAACCCTTATATCTTCCCCCTTCTAAAAAATGTCTTAAAACAGCTTGTCCATTTTACATAAGGTGTGTTACAAGAGAGGTGAACCAATTGTGCCTAGCCAGACTCCCGTTTGTCTAATAACCCCATAAGAATTCTTTGGGAGAAGTGACACTCCTCTATTAATGTCCTACCACGAGTTGAATACTTGTCCATCTATCCGGACCAGCATCCTACTTGTTTGTGGTTTGGGGTGGGTCTCAGAAGTCAGGGAAATGGAATGTAAGGATCTAGACCTTACCCCAATTCCAACCCCCGCGACGTGAGAACAGCTCCAGAGAAATTTGACTTCTCAACCCCGGGTGGTGGGTGGAATCAAAACATTCTGTGAGATCAAAGACAGAATTGTCTTGTGAGATCTCCAGAGTGCAGGCTAGGAAAGAGGCGATGTGGTGGAGTAGAGAGATGAAAACTTTGAATCTCTCTCTCCGCCACATCAATGGCTCTACCACCTTGTGACAGGTATCTATGTCACATGCGAGCCATTCCTGCCTGCCCCTGTTGCTCTCCCCCGCTTCCTAGAAATGTAATGCAGGGTACCTCCGCAAGCTCTGGGATCACAACCTATTGAGTCCTCCAATGAAATTGCAAAGATAAGTAAGAGAACCAAAAAAGAAAAAAAGAAGGAAAGAATGACATAACTAGCCCCTAACATTGATGTGCAAATCCAAGAGAAATTAAAAAAGATAACAGAACTACAGTCAATTCCAGGTAAGTTTGTAATAAATTCCCCGCCAATTTGATGGAGTTTTGCAGGCATACTTGGTAAAGCTTTTGTAAATTGTTGATAGTTTTGAATAAAAGATCATAAAAAAGGTTGAAAAAAAAGAAACTAAACAAAGAGAAAACAGAAAAGAAAAGAGAAGGAAGAATTGATTTGATTTGATAATCAATTGGAACTCCTGATTAAAGTTGTCCTTGTTGTCATGCCTTCATTGTAAAGAGCTGAATTCAAACACAGACAATGGTGTTGTTCCTACGCATGTGGCAAAGGTATTGTTTGATTGATTATGTATTTACAAAAGGGGAAATGGCAGGCATAGTAGCTTTGGTGGTGCATAAGTGGTGGGAACTTACTTTCATGTTTCTGTGGCTCACAATACCTCTTCCCCTCCTCCTTGGTAGTCCTCATGTTGGTAATTCTTGAATTTTAGGATGTGACAGATCAGAGGAGAGTTTTAACAGCTTTCTAGCTTGAGCTTGAAGTTGCGGCCATTGTTCAGGCATTCTGTCACTTCATAAGGTGGTCAGAGTTTGCTTGTGGGTTTTCCAGAGTCTCCTACAATCTGTTATTGGTCCTTACTATCAAATAGTACCCAATCATCTATGTGTAAATTCTGCCCTGGCCTTCTCCTGTTGTTGTAATTTACCACTTGCTCAAATGAAAGTTGGCCCACGCAGCTTGACGTTTAAACAACCACAACTCAACTTCAGGTGTGTCTGTTTTGAATTTGGGAAAAGCCTTGGCTCCTTTCTGTAGACAAACTCAAATGAGGATACACCCATAGCCACTTTAACTGCACTACTGATTGCATATTCAACCAAAGGCAAACAGTCAAACAGTGAAACAGTCAAACAGCTGTGCATGTCAATACCCTACTATTTGTCAAAGGATTTGTACAATGGTTTTGTTTGATTTTCCACTATGTTCGTTGCTTTTGGGGTGATAGGCAGTTTTCAATCAAACATCAACGTGTAATAAATGTGTGATCTCTTCACAATCTCTTGCCGGAATTTAGAGGTCCACAGTTTATTGCAATCACCAATGCTTCTTGGTGCTCCAAAAATTGATAACCATGATGCAAAGACCCTTTGGGCTGGTTTCTTTGGCGGTATTGGTTTGACAAATTGGGATTCCTTGAAAACCTGTCAGGCAGCAGGTAATTGATAGAACCATATTATAACCACAAACCTTTGGGAAAGGGCCAATGAAGTCTGAGGAGATATCCTACATGGGTTGTTGTGGAACTACAGTTGATTT